TTGACACACTAAACCATATTATCATATAGGGCCCCAAGAAAAACTTAAGAGTCTAGCAGTTACTCCAATAAGAAGTTTTTAGACTAGTGCTCCAAGTGCTGAATTTGAGATTCAAAGACAAAACTAATTTCCTGTAAGTTTTTGCTAGGGACAAAACAACCAAGCTTACTTCAATTAAATTATCCAACTTGTTTGCTCATTTTGTCACTTTTCTCTTTGAAACTGAAAGGAGCCCCAAATTCTTGGTTGATGAGACCCATCCTAACAGTAAAACCAACTACTCAGACTTTCCTAAGCAACAAAAAATAGCTACAGAAATGATAAACAAGTACAGTTAGTATATTTTGTGGTCACTTCCATGTTGGGTGGACTACAATTGTCGGTCATATCTAAAGCTACCTCTGAGGTAAGATCACACTGCCTATAAAGGATGGAGATATTGGGGAGAGGGGACCACTTTAGAGGGGACCAGTTTGGAGAATTTCACACGTAAATGACCTTTAAAACCTCCTATAGTTATTAAGATCCTCCAGTATGAATAGTATTCTATCCTCCTTTGATTTCAGTGTTCTGCTGCTCCACAGGCATGAAAAAAGAAAAGGAATAAGCTTGAAAAATCCACAGCCCAATAGACTAAATACTGTACCTTATTTCCTAGTATATCAATCTGAATCTATAAAATTAATCAATATCCCTTTAAAAAACCTACTTGAAAAAAATCTATAGCATTTTTTTTATAAGATGGCAAAACTCCAACAAATTTTACCACATACCACACATTTAAGCATTAAATCTTTTCAAACCTGTCAGAGTTCTGGGGCCTGCTCCAAGCTTTGGGTAACAGAACTACGCACATGAGCAAGGTCCCGCATCTACTCCACCTGTCACTCATTCTAAAATTAAAAATAATGGCAGTTACATACACCAGCTATTTTTATTGGCCCAATAAAAGAATATTTATCTTAACAGTAACTGTTTTCAGGCAACTACAGGTTTTTGAGAAAAAGTAGAGCCTTTCTGTGACATATCACTATAGTTTTTGTTTAAGGGGGTTGTCTCTTAGTGCAGACCCAGATCATTGAGCCTGAGCTTCCACAGCCTCTGCCCACCATGAGCCACCATTGGCAGGACTGGCAGAAACAGCAGCAGATACATTCTATGCTTATGATAATATTTTACACTCTTGTTAATTACAGTATGTGGTTTTCAACTGTGTTTTGCATTTGACTTCCTTTAGTAATCTTTTCTTTTGAAATGTTTCAGATAATTTTTTTGTTCACTTTGCTGCGTTAAGTGTGCATTATGTAGTTGGCCTCGTTTGTAATGTTTTATTTAGAAATTTTTGAGAACATTTTAGTGTCCTGTTAATTATGTTGCTATGAATGTAAACTTTATATTTGACTTTCTTCAGTAACCTTTTATTCTCAATGGTTTTATTTGATGTTTAATATAGGTTGTAAACCACAGTGAGATGTTTTTCTTAAAAAATAAAGTGGCATAGAAATGAAATAAATATTTTTTTTAAAAAAACTTTCGAACTTTGTCTCAGTACCTGGCTCTCCCTTCGGCATGGAATGTGGGAGGCACTGAGTGCAAAAGTGCTTTGCCTGGCAAAAACCCTCCTACACTGCCATACTGGCATGTGATAGGAAAGGGTTGCAACAACATACTGTGGAATATACTAGCTACATGGATCAAAGGTTTGAATTGAGATAAGATTTTCTTCGGCATGAGAGTTGAACAACCAGCCCAGGACAGAACCCTACAGCAAAAACTTGTCACATTTTTACAGGATAACGATGAACCATAAATGAGTACTCTTTCGGTTTGGTCAGTCAACCATCTATAAATCCACCTAACCATTACCTCACCCAGTCCACATTTTTCCAGCTTCTCCACAAGAATATCTTGGGGGACTTCGTCAAAAGTCTTACTGACCCACCAACCCTGTAACTCTGTAACTAATAATAATAATAAAAAAATTATTTATATCCCGTCCTCCCCAGCCAAAGCCGGGCTCAGGGCGGCTAACAACAATCAAATAATCAAACAATGAAATAATCCAACATTCTAAAACATTTCATTATAAAAATTAATTAAAATCAAATTAATGGCAACCGTTAAGCAAAGTTCTGTGCAGGTTGCCAGAGGAGGGAGTCAGGCTGGGCCCTGACCAAAGGCCTGGTGGAACAACTCTGTCTTGCAGGCCTTGCGGAAAGATGTCAGGTCCCGCAGGGCCCTAGTCTCTTGTGACAGAGCATTCCACCAGATTGGAGCCGCAGCCGAGAAAGCCCTGGCTCTAGTTGAGGCCAGCCTAACCTATCAAAAAAAAAGTAATAAGATTTGTCTGGTATGACTTGGTTTTGAGAAACCCATGCTGGGTGTTAGTAATCACAGCATCCTTTCCTAAGTGCTGCAGACTGACTGTTCATCCATTCTAGGACCTTTCCTGGTATTAATATCAAGCTCACTGGTCGGCATTTACTTGGGTCTTCTCTCCCTCCCACTTTTGAAGATGGAGACATTTGCCCAATCTGCAGGGACCTTATCTATTCTCCAATAATTCTCAAAGATTATAGACAGAGGCTCTGAGATTACATCTGCAAACTCCTTTAGTACCCTTGGGTGTAGCTCATCAGGCCCTGGATATGTGAATTCATTGAAAGTAGCTAGGTGTTCCATTACCACCGCTTTTCCTATCTTGGGCTGCAGCTCCCTCCTTGCATAGTTTACTCTGTTATCATCAGGTTGGGCACTGCTTTCCTTTTGGGTGAAGACAAAGGCAAAGTAAGTGTTGAGCAGTTCCCACATCTCTGTCACTCAACAGCATTTCTCCATCTTCTCCAAGAAGGGACCTACTACTGTCTTGTTCTTCCTCTTGCTTCAAACATAGCAGAAGAAACCTTTAAATTTATTTTTAACCTCTCTTGCATGTCTGAGTTCAGTCTGAGCTTTGACTCAGAATGACCTTCTCCCTGCAACTGTTTACTACTCGTGTATATTCTTTCGTGATTTCCCCTTTCTTCCATTTCTTATACATGTTAAATCTCAGCTCATCTGTAAGGTCCTTATGCAGCCACACTTGAGGATCCCAAACAGCAGACCTGGGAAAGGTTTGAAGTCTTTAGGTGTTCAGAGTAGACACTCTGTTCTTCAACTGGAGAGTTGGGACCTGAAGTCGAGCATTAGTCTGACATAAGGTGGATCATAAAAGGGGCATCCAATATCCAAATGTATGGCAAAACCACACACACCAAGAAGTCACCAAATTTATGTTTGGGCTAAAGATGAGTGCCAGAAAATTTGTAAACCTACTTTGCTAAAGAGAGCAGAAGTTTACATAATGCTTCTTCCAATGGTGAACAGCCAGCTCATGGGTCTCTAAGCAATACTGTGCAAAGGATTAACACAACACTTTGCAAGACAGATCAGAGTGATAATAAGAGTAGCACTTGAATAGGGAAGATGACTGTCAATGGCATAAAGAATACACATATTGAGAATCAAATATGGGAGGGTTCCAAAATCTGCAACAGAACACCACCTTTATTAAGCCAACCAAAATATGACAAAATAGCATGCAAGTTCTGAAGCTTTTTTCACCAGGCTAAACACAGGAGGAAGGGAACCTGATTGACGTTGGAGGGTGCAACTCTTCTCTGAAGAGCTAAACACAGGCAATAGTGCATAAGCCATTAAAAAAACACCATGATCTAGTTGGTAAACATGAGCCACTCTGTGAGATTCACAGCATTTGGAATCTCAAAACAAATTAACATGTTTCCTGCACACAGCAGCTGCAGAAGGCAGACAGCTATTGCAACCACACTTCTCAGAAAGCCAATTCATAAGACAAGTTGCTATATTTATTCTTGCAGAATAAGCGCTAGAACACACTAGAGCTTTCATTTTTTAAACATACTTTCCCAAGGATTTTAAGCAGCTAAAGTTTAGAGCAACATGCTCCCCAAACTCATGCTTGATAGGCAGGAAGCTGAAAATGAAAAGAAACAGAAGGTCCACTTGTCTCCATTCCCACTAACAAAGTGAACATGCAGCCTCAAATAAAACATAGTAACAGAAGTAATTTACTCCAAAAGATGACAAAAGCACTTAGTAAAGAAACCTTGAACAGCATCCATTTACAAATGCGACAAACTTAAAGAATGAGAACCATAATGTCAATACAGTGGGCATGGGGTCACATCATGGGAAGGTGAATCTTGGCAAGCCATAACTCCATTTTGGAGGGTCAGTGAACCGGGGATTAAGCAAACTTGTCAGGAGTCGTCATACAGCTGATACAAGGGAAGTTAAAAGGGCCCTTGAGCAGAGTGATTTTGGCAACTTAGTGAAGTGCCCACACCCATCTATCTACCTGGACACCAGTAAGAAAAGCGCCCATGCTCCGAGGCAATCTTTATTACAGTACTTCATATTCTAATACGGAGTTGAATCAGTGTTGAAAACACATCTGAGGATGCAAGGAGTGGGAGGCAGAAGGGGACTCCGCTATCAAGTCGGGGATGCAGCTGGAGGCAGAACAAAGCCACAGAGACGGCGGTGGGTTTTCCTGAGCACATTGTTCGAGGGAAACCAAGGAGGAGAAGGCGGGAGACCAGGAGCAATGGGGGTTGTAGGGGGCGGGAGGGAAGAGCACAGCTGAGCACGAGAGAGACCCGCTCGGCCACAAGCACAGAAAGGAGAGCCGGTCCCGGAGAGAGAGGCAGTCATGCTACATCTCGAAGACGACGGGCTACGACAAGCGAAACTCGCAGGAAGTTGCAGGGAAGGAGAGCAAGGAAAGGGAAGGAAGGAGGGGCGCGGAGGTGGGGCTGGAGCGCCCCAGGGAAGCAGGATGGAGAGGCTGCCTGGGGCCGGGTTGCCGCCTCGCGAGGCAGGGAAGGCGGCGGGGGCGGGGGTCTCTCTCTCTCTGGCCCCGGGGCTCCCCGGGGAGAAGGGCGCCGGCGGGCGGGAAGGAGCGCCGGCCAGGGACTCACGCATGAGGAGGCTGAAGGCCACGACCCCGAGCAGCCCCTGCAGGAAGATGCCGAAGCTGTCCATCAGGGCCCCGTTCTCGCAGCCACGGTAGCCCGGCCCATCCCCGGACGGGGAGGAAGCAGCGCCGGGCCCGCCAGCAGCGCCGCCGCCGCCGCCGCCCTGCGGAGAGCCCGGCCTGGGCGTGGCGAGGAAGGAGCTGTTGGGGGCCAGGGAGCCCCCCATGGCGGACTGAGCGCGCCGCGGAGCAGGTGCGCCGGCCAGAGGGAAGGAGAGGGAGGGTCGCTCGCAGGCTCCGCGGCGCTTCCTGGGGACGGGGGAGGAACCCCACGCGCCGCGTCACCGGCAGCGCGTGACGTCAGGCGCCGTGAGCCTCGGGGGAGGGCGGGGCCAAGGGGGCGTCGGGGCCGCGGCCGCCGCTCTCCGTCTGTCAGGTGAGGCGGGATGCGGGTCTGGGAAGATGTTCTCTTCGTCGTCTGAGGAGGGAACAGGAGGCTGGGCGAGCCCTCGTCCTCCTCTCCGCGCCCCGGGGAGAGTCGACGCGGAGCTAAGGGCTCGGCCCGGTCTGTTTCTGCGCCGAGGACGGAGGTTGGGCTTTCTTCCGAGGAGGAGCTTCGTTTTGCCCGCGGGTGAAGGAGGAAGCCTTCGCCCTCCCAGCTCCTGCCGCCACAGCCAAAGCCACCGAGGAGGCAGCTTTACTTGCCAGGGTCGCCCGTGGCCATTCGGCAACCCGACGCCGGCCGCTGTGGGGAATGGCAGGACCTCGAGCGGGAAACGGCTACCACTTCCCGTCTCCCAGCCTAATGGACCTGGTGCTGTGAAAAGTAAGCGCCTGCAGGAAGCTAGCTATTGCTGTGTCTTATAAAAAATGCTGTTTTTGGCCTGTTTAAAAACCATTTAATCCACGGGCTCATTTATTATTTTCTGTTTCGTAAGATTTATATACCGCTAGATTGTAAAAACGACCTCGAAGCGGTTTACAGAACGAAAAAAAAAAGGCAAAACAATAAAATCAAGAACGATTTTGGGGACAATAAATCCAGCCTTGTACCAAACCTGAGATCGCCTTTTTACAGCTGCATAAGTGCAACACATGCCATTGGTTTGAGAAACAATGTCTAGGTTAGGGTTTAGAAGTGGCAGCTTTCAGGATACTTTGGAGATGGCTAATGGGGAATTCAGTTTAGACTTTTTAAAACTCAAGACTTGTGTCTCAATTCGGAGCTGGTCTCAAGGCTCAAAGCTAGATACTGTACTGTGCAAATAGCACTGAGAAACACGGGTGCCTGCTAATTACTGTACAGTATTACACTCTGAGGACTAGTTTGACACCCCCAGTGGTGGAAACTATCCTCACAGCACAGGACTCTTACTGTTACCGTTTTGTACTTGCTGCAAAGTTATGGATTTTTTAATCTCGCATTTAGGATGCATTCCTAATCCTACCTACCTACCTGGGGGTAAACCCCTACAGAACTCAGTAATTTTCTTGAGTAGAAATGGTTAAGATTGCAGAAAGACATTCCAATTTTTGGTGACTTCTGTACTCCAGTTTTATATAACACATTTAGTAATAAATGGATACCAGCAAAAATATATTTATGCCAGGAGTCAAGTATACTTAGAATGGGTCGAATTTTCTTTTGATAGAGGATATGTCACAAAACTAGTTTGTGTCTCATGTCTGTAACAAACTTATTTTCTCATGATGATTTATAGCTGTAATTGTGAACAGGGATATTTATTAACATCACACTGATCTCAGTACTGTATGTAATAAAATATCTGCTGTATTGATTTGTACAATGAAGGCTTATCAATACCTGAGAGCAAATATTTATCTTGTTGCATACTAGAAGATAAACTTCTACCAGGCCATTGGATATCAACCCATGTGACATGTCTGAGCCATGACTGATTATTTTTCTCTACCCAAGAAGGAAATAAAATGTTTTAAATGTATAATGAGAATGGGTTGAGTGCACAATCAGTACATTCAGTTGCATGTGCTTTCAGGCTGGAGAATGTGGAGCGAAGTTTTTTTCCCCTCTCACTGTTTTCAACTAAAGAATGCGTAATTGTATGCAGCACAATATTTACTTGTGAGTTTGTACTGAGCTATTTTTCTGCTTTAGGCTGCAATCCTATATTCATTTACCCCCAAGTGAAGTCCTGCTGAACTCAAACTAGGTTTAAAGCTGAGTAGATTTGTATAGGATTGTAATGTAAATGGCAGAACTTTAACACTACATGTCAATCTATGCTTAAAACATGCAAGGTTCTACAACTCTTCTTAAAAGGCTTTACTGTACATGTAATTGACACTGAGAAGTAGACTTGTCTTCAGGGATACAGTAGTAACACTCTTGAGCAACGAACAGTTTTATATTATTACATTTTTATGTTTCTTGTAGCTCAAATGCAGGACAAGAGTTGAACTCTAGCAGGAGGCAATCTAGAAAAAAACAAACATTTTAAATTCCAAATCTTGAAGTTGTCTTCCATGTATATTTGAATTATGAAGTTTCCTCTGGTGCTGGAACAAATGCTGAACCACATATAACACAATAATTATGATAATTATTAAGATTAGGGTGTGCATCAAATATTTGCTTTGAGTACTACTGTGGTAAGTGAATTGATGTAGCTTGGCAACTTTTGAGGATACTCATTTTGACTTGTGTCCAAAGCAGAACTTCCCCTATGGAAAAATCTGAAGTTTCATATGTCTTCCCATTGGCTTATCCTCCCACCCCCCACCTCCTGTAGAGGATGTCTGTCACATTTTAAATATACAGTGGTACATCTGGTTACATACTTAATTCGTTCTAGAGGTCCGTTCTTAACCTGAAACTGTTCTTAACCTGAAGCACCACTTTAGCTAATGGAGCCTCCCGCTGCTGTCACGCCGCCACCACATGATTTCTGTTCTCATCCTGAAGCAAAGTTCTTTACCCGAGGTACTATTTCTGGGTTAGCGGAGTCTGTAACCTGAAGTGTATGTAACGCGAGGTACCACTGTATAGGCAGCTTTGTGTATGCAAGGGAATCCATTCAAGTTTGGGTGGAAAGAATTTGCTTACCACATTCTGGAGTGGGGGGTATTTATGGAAATAGTTTACATTGTAGAGATGCCCTTAATTTAAGTAACCTGTATCAGATGGATAGGTACATAGGTTAGGGAAATAAATTTAATGAAAAACTGTTTTCTGTCAATTTGACAGCAAAGTGAGCTAGAAAAACCTAGACTTCTGCCTGCCTTTCTTATATGAAGTGGCTAGGGGAGAAATGTATAGATTTTCCAAGGCACACTGTGTGTCTCCAACACAATCATAAAGCTTCTGGAAGACTAAGATCTCTTCAGTATGGTGTACTTCTGAGAGCACCTAGTCAGACAAGCCCCTTCTCTTTTCCTAGCAGCTCACTTATGAGATTTATCAGAACCAGATTTATCAAACCTAATTAAAATAGGTGTCATCTTGAGCTTTCATCACCTTACACTAGCAGTTCTCAGCATGCAATACTGTTGGGAGGGTGATAAGGTGATTGCTGGTAATTATTTTTACATATTTAAACATTAAAGCAATAAACATTTTCTTATTTCTAAGATCACTACGAAGTATGGAGTTTGGCCAGAGAAAAAAATTGCTTGTAGGTTAATTCTATCTATGCATGCCTGTTCAGAAATAAGATTCATCTATTGTGTTCAACAGATAAAAGTGTCTACTCTAAGAGAACAATCTTAGTTTTGCAGGCCAGAATACAAATTGATTCATTATATGCCAGCAACACTACCTAATTTGGTTCTGGTGTTACTTTAATCAACTCTTCTCTAGGAACCACCAGGAAAAGAAAAATCAAGTAAGGAGGTTCTGAAATCTACTTCAATATCCCTTTACAAACCGAAGTGGACATGGGAAATGTTTTTTTGCAGGAAGGGGGTCCAAATATAAATGCAACTTAAGATTTCCAACCATGATTCACTTTGTTTAAACTGAAAATATATACGTCTCTGTATTTGTTTTGATAAACCAATAAAACAGTAAAAAAACCACTATTGGTATACTGCTTCCATTTCTTAACTGAGGCACTGGATTGGCCATGTGGACAACATAATATTAGACAAGAAAAGCTTTTGGTCTATCCAGCAGCATTCTTACCAGCAGATTTTTCTAGGGAAAACTGTTTGCAAAAGTTCTTTCGTAAGAGGGTCACAGGCAAATAAGCCCAGCACTAAGAGCATATGATAATGTTTCTTGAATCATAATTGTAAGACACTTGGAAATTGACCTTTGTGCCTATGAACCCTCAAGTGCTTGTTTATGTATTAGTAATGTAATCCAGTTTCCCCTCAATGACACATGTAACATGGAATTCTGAGCACTCAAGCAATACTCAGCTTATTGACACAAAAGTAGACCAGCAGCAATTTAAGTATTTTTTAAAATTTACTTACAATCACTTTAAACGGTCATGAAGTACCACAAAATTATGTACATTCATTTACAGAAAAAAACAAGCAAAATAATCCATTTAAAATATTTTAACCCTTTAACTGATACATCTATCCAGTAAAGGAGGATCTTCAATAGGCATATTTTATGTGCATATTTCTCCATTTTTGAATTTTACCCTCAGTTCACACATATAATTTATATATATTAAATCAAAGAAAAATACAGCAAGCAGGAGGAACAACACAATATACATATTTAATTATTTTTTTAAAAAAGAAAGAACAAAGCAGGGAAAGTGCATGTTCAATGATTTATTACAACAAAACAGATCTACATATATGCTGGCAGTACCTGCCCTAGAAGGCTCTTTCAAGAGATTTCTGATTGTCTATAAACACTAACAGAACTGGTTCAGAGGTCAATGGAAAAATCTGTGTGCAGTCCTGTATGAGAGTGGACTGGCTGATTAGGTAACAGCAGCAGAAGCTGACAAACATGAAGCCTCTGTGATATACAGATAGTACTTAAGGTTTCTTAGGAGTTGCAGTTAAAGGAGTAAGTTCTTCACAGATTTTTTTAAAAAAATCACTTCAACTCATTACTTGAAGTTCCAAAGTTCTGGTAATTCCAGTTTCCACACACCTGAAGTTTAAGACAAGTCAGTGGAACATTGCATTTCATTCTAGAGTCTGGAGGAAGTAATGTGCTGCATTCCATGGTTCAATCTTGATTTTATTCTTTTAAGTAATTTAATCTGGTCAGCAGCAGTGCAATAATTAGGTCGAACTTCTAACAAGCAAGTAACTAATATAAATAACTGCTGTACTTCTAGTGTCTCCAATTTTGATCCTTTTCAGAAAGGAATTCACACTAGCAAGGTTCACTACAGATCTCATCAGCTACTAATCCAGCCTGCAGTGGGTTAGCTTACTGCATACACAGTGATCCAGAGATCTACCCATGAAAGGCGGTGGGCAGAAGGAGACTTCTTTCTGCGGAAAAAAATGGGCAGACACACCTGTAATGGTAGCATCTGCTTGGAGCATCTTTTTTTCCTATTATTCTATTACTTCCCCTTTCAGCACATCATACCCCAATTCTGCAGCATTCCTAGTACATTTTCAGTGGGGCTCCTCTGGAGAGAAGAGGGGTGGGAAAGTTACTCCCACCTTACCCGCTTTTGGGTTTGGATCTATGGTTTATATAATGGATTATATAATGAGCTTTTAAAATTGCATGCTCAAACCCCATTCTAGCCTCATGGTTAAAAGGCTACCTTTGACAACAAAGTTCATATATGAATGATTTAGGGAAAGTTAATACCAGCGTGAGTTCTCAGCACAGTGTCAAAATTTACACTTATGAGGTTTTCTGGCAAGTCCCTTTGTGCTTAGCAAATCTTGGTGTTTCAGATACTACTTTCACAGTAGACAAAATCTTAGGCAAAACTGAAAATCGCAACAAAAGCCTTATTTAAAACATTGTTTTACTTTTGGCAACACTCCGGTATGAATTCATAAAGCTTCACAATGTGTGCAGAAAGAAAGCGGCTGATGTGAAGATGTGCACTGCCTAGGTAATCTGGCATGCAAAATTCTCCAACAAGACAAATTTTTGAGCTGATTAGGCTTTGGCTAGTAATACGTAAAAAGTATCTGCAAATCAGACAAAAAGTGTGTGCTCATTTCACTAAAGGGTAGAGTCATCCAATGAGAATGGAGGAGGGGGAAGAGAAGGGTCTCTGGAAGCAGCACTGCCAGATGCCAAGCCCTGCTGGTCTCACTAGAATCAGATGCTCCAGGACCATACTGCATCCAAGGGGTGTGTTGGGAGAACAGGAGGACCTTGGATCCTGATCCATCCCGTTTCCCCCTGATGCTGAAGCACCAATGGTAGAGGGGCAAAGATCCCAGTCCTACCTGTGGCTGCTGGTAGAGGGGTTCCGAATGCTGACTTCCTTCTTAGCCTGTAGATAGGGAGGCCTGCAAAATCCTTTGCTCCTGGTATTGTACCCGAATTGACACACTGCTATAGATTTAGTATTCAACTTATTCTACCTTACTGTAAAGCATTCGTGGCTAACCTCTGGGTCCAGGTGTCTCACCAGCTCCATCAAGGCAATTTTATGGCAGTGGCAGAAAAAAGGGAAACATTTATAAATTAGACACATTGATGGAATGGCTGTAGAGGTTTGAGAGAGTGCCCTTTGTGCTTGCATGCAGATTTGTGCAAGACACCATGGGGTGGCCACACCCAGCATAGGCATGCTAGCTAGATCAAGGGTAGCTAAAAACCCACCTCTGGTTAGTCCTTTCAGAGGTGGGTTTGTGAAAGGACTAACAAGGTTTCCATTCTCTTAACAGGATTGGCAGTTGCATGGCAGGTACATAAATTTTAAAGCACTGTCATTCCCCACCCCAACCCTTGTCTCTTTCAGAGTCTGGAATAAGCCCTTCATGGCACAGGCTTCCCACCTCCTTTCAAGTTTCTAGCATTATAGAAGTGGTAGCTATGCCAAGTAAAATTAGACCAGAACTTTCTCAACTATCTCCGGTTTTATTAGATAGCTGTGCCAGTTAACAGGATGCAACTTAGAACCTTTGAGTGTAAACCAAAATTATGTACTGAATTTCTTTTGACAATAGATTTATAAGCTGCTGTTTCCCACCCCCAAAAGCCAATCAAGTGGAAAACCTATGTTGTTTAATAAGAGTACCTATAAATTTATTTTCATGTAGTCATTGTATAGCAACTAGCCCCCAGAGATCTAACTATTATGTTTATCTTTTCTCACTCTCTGCTTTGGACACATGTACTTTATCCTAGTAAGAATGTCATTAGCATAGTTAAAATACACAACGTTATCTAACTTTTCAGACTCTCTCCCACTCTACTACAGTAGCACAAGAAGCTTTTGAAGTTTTAACAGCATTAAGTCAGATAAGCTTCCAATTGAACTGATTTGGGCAGTAAATGGAAAGAAATGAAGGGTTTGTAGATGAGGTTACATTTCCCTGAAGTTGGAAAATATTCCAGGGCTACTTAGGGGATGAATGCTTTGCAGACGGCTTCAAATTCAGCCCACAAGATATGCTTGAATTGGCTCAAGAAATGAAGTATACAACTACTCATGTGTTGCATAGAAATGACTTAAAGTAACAAACAATGGAAAGCATCTCTCTTTCTGACAGCCCCTAAATGGATCCCACTGGGATCAAACTCCTAAAGTAGGGCAGAAATATTAGCTTATAAATATATCACAGATAGCCAGCACCTACTCCATTGGCTTCTGAAACGTAAGTTGGCTTATTTACAGCAATGCATGGAGTATGAAAGTTTTACTTTAAAAACTCTGAAAATCTCAAGACATACAAGATTTGTACATATGCCATTCTTATGATTTTTGATTCCCCCCCAAAGGTATCCAATAGTTACCTTTTTAATAAAGCAAAAGATGCACTGAAGCTGGATAATGAAAAAACCTGGATCCACCCCACCCGCCCAATGCCAGAGAGAGGCATTCAAACCAACACATACAAGTGCATTTCTCATAAATAAATGGACCAGTTGAATAGCACTCATTTCAATATATAAATGTAATTGCAAACTTGGTCCATATGCTCATTTACACAGCATTTAATGTACTAAACCTACTTTGGTTGAAACCTGAAGTATGAAAGCTCTGAGTAATCATTCACTGCATCCATACTCTTATCTAGGGTCTCATAAAGCTAGGAAGGTTATTCATTTCTTTTAAGACACCATACAACCCTCTTCCTAAACAGCACTCATATATATCCTGGAACGTGACTCTGCAGGAAGACAATGTTTCAAACTGTGAATATCAAAAAGATCCAGTGACGCGGATATACTTCAAATTTAACAGACACATATAATGGGTGCAGAAGCCCATTTGGTGCATGGCTGGATCCCAGCGAAGCTGGATTCACTCTGCAGAAATCAAAACCTGTAATTGTTCAGCAGTGTGCACCAACAGTTAGTTGTTGCAGTTGTGGGAAGTTGCTGTATAGATAAGCATTAGCTAGCACATTATTAAGTTGACCATAGTTGAATTGCCTCTACATAAACACACAAAGTTATGTAGAGAACTATGAACCCCATCTCTTAAGGTGTATACACAGTACAGGCTGCATGAACTGTCCAACAAAAAGGACATCACAAATCATTTCTGTTATATACTTAAGATAGAAGAGGGAAGACGACATTTCACCCATGCATTTACAAAACAACTACAATTTTCTGGAGAAACCCTTTAAACATTGGAGAATTGATAGGAGCTCAACATTTCTGTCCGTTCTTCCTCTACAGATGCAAGGTCGATTTCCAAAAACAAATGAGAATACGAGAAGACTTAATCCCAATCTCATACCATGCAATATTCTAGTAAATATTTTCAAAAAGAGAAATTATACTAAAGTGTCAATATTTCTGTGCAGCTTTCAGTAAAAAATAAAAAGTAATAAAAAATTAGGTTGCAGCTTATCTGTAAAGCAGAGCCATATGTTAACATTCAAACCTCCTGTTCTACAATTCCCAAAACTTGTCCTCTCCGTGCCTTGACCAGCAGCATGGCAGGCAGAAATTCTGTCAGGCACAAACTTCACCACCACTCCCTCTCCATGACAAACAGCTCTAACTTTTTGAATCTGTTACTTTCAGATAACTTTTGGAGGCCCAGGACCTCTTGTCAGGTGAAAAAATGTTGGCATTCCTATTTTGACTGCAGAAAAGCACATGTTGCATAGCCATATATGACCTTCCCCGAAAAATGTAATTCCCTCATAGCTTTTTTTCCCCCCAGGCTGTAGAGGTAGAAAGCAAGTTCCAAAATAAAAATCACAAACAAAAAACATCTGGCTGCACTTCAGTTTTCAAGCTTTTGGCCACACCACTTATCTTGGCAATCAGCGATATTAATGTTTTAAAAATTATGTTTAAGACAAAGAATATGAAGTAGTTCTGCAAATGGCAAGGAGATTTCCATCAATCGGCATTCCCTTCCATGTGCTGCCAAGTCTGTCCATTTCAGACCAGAACTACAGGAAATTTTTCTCCCCTTAGAGGAGAGATTACAACCACCTTTATTAATCAAAAAAGTCCTGATGTACAGAACAAGCGACTACTACATTCTTAAGCCAATAGACAGCTGTGAAAATAGCTGGGATTGCATTAATGTTTTGCTCCAAGTATTTTCCCCCCTCCCCTCAAAGTGCAAGACTGCAAACGCCAGTTTATAAGCAGTTTCCGTCTGACCTTCCTTGCCTCACCCTGTTGAAGGAAGAGTAGGATGCTGCAGTTGTGCTTTAAAAATTCATTTTCCAACTTATCACCCCCTCCCTTTAGTTAGCAAACTGTTGGTAGAAGGCAAATTTAACCCTTTCAATGTGATGGCAAAGTTTAATGGCTGGGCCAAGTTTCAAGTCCATACACTCCTGAACAGTGGGAAGAGTTAGCAGGAGAAGCGCCTGTCCATCTATTTCCTGTTGAGAAACAGAGAGAGAACAGGGTTCAGAACTGATGCAAAAAATGCCATTAAGATGCATTAAATGGTCTGATTGAAAGCTAACAAATCAAATGGGAATGCATCCCTCGACAAAGTATAAGGATCCAAAAAAGCCAAACTATTTACAATGCTAGAAAGTTATTGAGACAAAGACTAGAGATTTCATGTGCTCAGTTAACAATTGCCAACAGTAAAACAATAGAATACCTGATCCAGAAATATTCTAGCTAATGGGGCACAGTCTGTAGATTTGAGGAACCGCACAACATCAGCTACACTCCACTCCAGAGGGTTGCTGTCCAGCTGCAGCTTTTCTCCAACGTCTATCTTTATTTCCTATCCCACAAGTCCCAAAACAAAGCAAAAATATTACATTTGCCCTGCTCAAGCATATTTACTCTTTTCGTATATTCCCACCAATTCCACCCAAGTTATCTCCTGAAAAGAGTCACAGATCATGACATTTTGGATTCTCGGAGTTAGGGATTTTGTGTGTGTGCTGATCAAATTTAATTCATAAGGTGTGAACCATGTACTCATGAACAGACTCCACAAACCATCCCCTCTCTCTGCCCCACCCCCAAGTTGTATATTCTTGAGACTGTAGCAAAAAAATGTTGACAGGGCAGCACTTGGAGGGGAAATCCCCAAATCCCAGCAACTAGATGAGATCTATACATGGAGCTTCCAGCAAGAACAGGTGGAATGTGTATACAGTCATACCTCAGAAGTCGAATGCCTTGTGACTTGAATGTTTTGGCTCCTGAATGCCGCAAACCTGGAAGTATAGGTTCCGGTTTGCAAACGTTCTTTGGAACCCGAACATCTATTGCGGCTTCCGATTTGCTGCAGGAGCGCCTTGGTTTCCAAACATTTTGGAAGTCGAACGGAGTTGTGGAACGGACTCTGTTCAACTTCCAAGGTACGACTGTATATTTTTATATAATAATAATAATAATAATAATATTCCCCTACCCATCTGGCTGGATTTCCTCACCCTAATCACTGCAGTGTTGCTGTTGTGGTGAGTTAGGTATGCAATAGGTTGCAATAAGTGCAAATTATATGCAAGTTTATATGCTAAATTATACAATAGGTTAAATTGTGTATATGCATTTAACTGATTGTTGCTATTTCAGTAGAGAGTTCATGCTCTGGATGCGTGATATACCAGGAAGGAGGTTTTGAGTCTTCCCTAGTGTCCTGGGAGGGAAATTTCTACTGATGCAACTTCCTTCCCCAGGGCAGCAAGAGAAGGGGTAAACCTGTCATCCCTGCACTCTCCCAATCTATATTCTGGAATTGTTATTTAAATAACAAGTATCAGAAATGTATATCATTAGAATGCAGGGAAATGGATTATTTTGCTTCTATAGAAAACCTCAAAACTGCTCTTAATAATCCTTCCTTAACAGGGTCTGTTTCTTCTTTGCTAGGTCACAAGTCAGTACAAATATTTCCTCACCTTCTTATTGGAGCAATTATTTTGCCCTCAGCCTTCAAGGCTCATCATTAGATGGCTTAATGACCTTGGGTTGCATCCAGCTAAACCATTGTGCACGCGGCAAGACTTCTGTGAGCTCAACCTTCCCTTCCTCTCCTCCCCCTGTGCACACCCCATATCAGCTCTGGGGATTCCCAGAGATTTAGTTAGAGACAACCCCCGATGAACAAAATCTCTCTTTCTGAATGCTAGATGCTTGCTGCTAAGGTATTATTTTTTAAAAAAATTCCAAGACCTACCTTTGGTGAAGGAGGCTTATTTTCATCATCTGAGAAAGAAAAGGCGCGTAGTTTCCTTTTCCGTTTGTCCCGGTCCTGAGCTCCAAAATGGGATCGCTCGCTCTGTGTGGGGGAGGATGACCGCGATTTCTTTTCTGACACTTCAGACTCTTCAAGCAGTTCCTCCTGGTGCTCAGAGGTGCTGTCTTCCGTCAGGGACTCTTCATCTATGTCATCCTGATCATCATCCTCTTCACCCCCACTGCCCTGAAATGGTATGGAAAGGAGACGGGGAGACTCAGAGGTAGACAGTGAAGACTGTGTGTAGCAAAATACCAAAAAACCCATTTATCTAATACCTATGGAACACAGAGTGCATTAAATAAATTGTATGTGTTATCATACCTGGGGTGAGCCAGCAGGTGTGTTATCTACAGAGGTAGAAGAGCGTTTCTTCTTATGAACAAAGAAGTTTTTCCGTTTCTTTCTTTTCCTGCTTGCCTTCTTCATGCTTGTCTCTGTGTTGCTGTGGATACCTGGTGGACGGCCAATCCTTTTGTTTCTTCGCTTCCCATAATAATGGGCTATGAGAAATTAATAGAAAAAGGATTCTGACTGTGAAATGTCAGGATGATTCATCTTTTGCTAGCCCTACATGTATCAAGAGTGCCTCTAAAATCTCCTTTTATCACCATGTTTTATTTATGATATTTATGCACCACCAACAGGGGATATATGATGTCCATCTATATGACCTATTGTTGCTGTTTGATACCTATGGGTATGTGCCTTAGAAGAAAGATGACATATTCTGCAGTACATAAATTAAACTTGTACTGGCCACTGGAATCTAGTAACCCAACAAACAGCACAGTGATTCAAAGGGTTGGAGTGGCAACAATTTTGCACATCAAACTGCTCTACAACCATCAAGAGTCCAGTTTCTCAACATGTTAAGTGGTGACCAACCTGCAAATGAATCCCGCCCGACACACACACACAAATATATCAGCATTGCTTCCCATGGGGCAATCAACAGCTTCCCAGAGGGTAGTTTAGATTTAATTTCAAATCCCACATGGCTCTTCCAAATGAAGATAGAAAGGTCAGGAAAGGTGATGTATCACTCACATAATAGGTAGGTTTGTCCTGAGATCAATAGGAACCCCAGCACAATCACAGGTTGGGTTTACTAATACAGCACGAGTTTTCTGCACTGCTAAACTAACTGTAAAGGTAAAGGTACCCCTGCCCGTACGGGCCAGTCTTGACAGACTCTAGGGTTGTGCGCCCATCTCACTCAAGAGGCTGCGGGCCAGCGCTGTCCGGAGACACTTCCGGGTCACGTGGCCAGTGTGACATTGCTGCTCTGGCAAGCCAGAGCCGCACACGGAAACGCCGTTTACCTTCCCGCTAGTAAGCGGTCCCTATTTATCTACTTGCACCTGGGGGTGCTTTTGAACTGCTAGGTTGGCAGGAGCAGGGACCGAGCAACGGGAGCGCACCCCGCCGCGGGGATTCGAACCACCGACCTTTCGGTCGGCAAGCCCTAGGCGCTGAGGCTTTTACCCACAGCGCCACCCACGTCCCTAGACTAACTGTAGAAGGACTCAATGGACACTTTTTGACCCAGGGCAAGATGAAATGTTGATGATATGGTCACAGTACAGTGGTGCTTTGAGCATATATAACTAAGATGAGCATGAACAGCAGCTTTAAGGAAATTGCATTTACTGGAAGTTGTGCTTTGCAGCCACTGACCTACACTGTAGAATAGCGCAGTAGTGAATCAGAAAATTCCCTTGTAGGGCCAAGCACCACAATTACTCACTGTATTTGGTTTTTGTCAGAACAGAGCAGTTCTCTGAACACTTGTCTAGCACCATTTGGGGGCCAAAGAGATTTGGACAACATTCAAGTTTGATACAGGTCTGCCTGCAGAACTCTGCGACTCGATCAGCTGTTCTCACAACTTCCACTGTGGCACGGTAGCTCTTTCCTTTATACCTGAAGCAAGGAGGAAAACAACAACAACATGTGATTTGAACGTCATTTTTATAAATACAATATTCTGGATGCCATGGAATTTTTTATGTTTACAGACAACATTTTAGGGTGAGGAAATGTTGTGCATCACCATTCTCAAACCAAGACACATTCCTACTGTGCTGGTTATGGTGCCTGGACCAAATGCTACTATAGGAGCATCTCAAACACCAAAGGGTCCTAGAACACGGCTGCATGTATTCCACCAGGGAGAAAAGATGAACTTCCTCCTTTACAGAGCAGTGGTCACATTCATTAGAGTCATGACAGCCAGGTAAGGGTGTTTGGGAACGTAAGGCAGCAACTGCAGGCAAGCTCATGGTGTTAGCATTACAAAGGCCGAGAAATCCTTCCTTCCAATGTCTAATTTGGCCTAAGAGCAAAGGACCAACACACACTACAGAACAGAGTCCATTTACTTTGCTTTCAGGGTCTCTCCGTATCCATGCCATGCAGCTTCCTCATCCAGCTGTATTTCTCTAAGGACACGGCTAGGTTTATAGGCAGCATTGATCAGCAAAGAAAGAACCTGAAAATGGAAATGAGGAGAGAGTGTTATGAAAGCAGTAGGCAAGTAAATTTCTTTTAACGTGTTAATATGACTTAGTAGATTAGTTCTATTCATCTGAGTTAGCAACTTGAGAGACTGAGCATTAAGCTAAAATGTATCAGCATAATACGTTTAGAAAGGACAGTACCTGTGAACCAAAAACAGACAAGTAAGGATTTATCTGACTGCCTAGGATTCCCAATTCAATGTTCAGTATAGCCTAACTGTCTTTCCACATTTCCCTCAATGTTGTTCAGGGTAAAGTACTGTTATCTAACAAATGTTGCTACTTTATTTTATAAAGGTATGCCAAAAATTTGGAGAATACTCCCCCCCTCCGACTTCATTTCTGAGATTATTCATTTTCTCCCTCCAGCTTCCTCCACCTCCCAGTCAAGAAAGAGGATTCTTAAGGAAGGATAGATGGAGAATGGCAGAAGAGACACCACTAACATACCAATCAAAGGGAGCTTGGAATAAGGTTTCATAGCATTCCATTCAGGAGGGGATATTTACTACAGGAAGGAGGTAAAGAGGAGTGCTAGGAAGGTTTATCACAATGCTAAACAAAGTGGAACAATGAGCTAAAAAGCAGGCACTGGAGGAAACAAAAATGGCAGTATCAAGTTTAACACGTTTACGGGGTGGTCTCATTTGAAATAAATGCCCAAGGATACATTAAAAATGAGCCAGATTTTGATCAAATACAAGAGGTTTGATAACGAGCTTTGAGCCAACTTGCTTTCAAAGTAAATATTTATCCTTGCATTCAAATATCTGGAAAAGTTATTGAGTGATAATTGCTCCATTCAATTTATTCCGAGAAGTAAGACAGCCATGTAAGAAACATGCATCAATTTAATGAGCAAATAACCCAGAATAGTGAAGCACCCTTATTAAAAAAAAAACCTCAAACAAAAAGGATTTTGCATTCTTAGACCATGGATACTGCACAGTATCTGACAAAGCTGCCGCTATTAAGAATAACCCATGGCGTTTAACATGCAGCAGAGACCCCCAGAGGCAACTCCTATAATCCAGAATGTTCTCAAAGGACTATAGATTTGTCACAACAGATTAAATGACTGACTCATCAACTCTAATATTCTGTCGTGGACAGTTTCTACTGCTGCTTAGTGACAGGTGTATATTCTCTTCTCCATAATGCCACTTAGGCATTTCTGTAATACAACAAAAAATACAGAGCCCTACAGATATCTAACTTGCCCTAAAGCCTTTTCATTTGTCACCGGATGTCCATTCTTGCCTTTCCACTTCAAAAATGCACTCAAGGCAGGGAACATAATACATTAAAAACAAATAGCTTAAAAAAAGTAAAACACAATGAATTAGACCAGGAGTAGTCAACCTTTTTATAACCACCGCCCACTAATGCATCTTTCTTGATGGTCAAATTTCCTTACCGCCCACCAGTGCTCGATGGAAGGAGGATTCAGCTTGTGCCATAGAACCCGCTACCGCCCACCTAGGATCCTGAAACGCCCACTAGTGGGCGGTAGGGACCAGGTTGACAACCCCTGAATTAGACTGTGAAGAACCATGAGTAAAAAACAAACTCTACACCCTACAAGAATGGCTTATATTTCTGTTGTTCTATCAGGTACTGCCTTACAATCAGAAGGAGAAGTTAGTATGTATCTGTCCTTTTGCAGAGGTTTATACCATTATGAGTTTCACCTGTCTTGCTAATGTGAATGGGCCCCTTACAAAAGAACTATAGCATTCTTTGATAGCTGAAAATATCAGAGTGACGCCCTCCAGCTAGCTGGAAGGGACAGAAACTTGTTTGCAGCCAGTTTTTTATGGTGAGTATGGGCTTCTCCTTGCAGAACTGGACTCTTGATTCACCAGAATATACCACCATGCCCCATGGGTTCCAGATTACCCTAGACAAAACTGTGCTTTCCAAATTTACCAGGAAGCCTCTGGCATACCATGCAACAACACAAGCTGATCACACCACCATCCCTATGTCACAGAAGAAACCATCTTGCTACTCTATAGCTGAATTTGTTTCATGAAATGCAGATTGAGAAATCTGGTTCAGACAAGCCTTCCCCACAGCATGGGTCATTATTTCATGTTTTAGTGATTGAGAATTATGAGAATTATGCTGTGCGACTTAATGCTGCCAAACCCACCAATATCTTGATTATGATTTCAACTTTTCAACCTAATACATCATTTTATAGGTCTACACTTTTCCATACTTACGTTGAATGCTGCATTAAAGTATTCCTAGTCTACAATGATACAAAGGGTGTGCTTTGACAGAGAAAGGGAATGAATTGTGCCACAAGTATATAGCCATGTTTTCCAGATGCCCTTACCTCTTTAAGAACAAGGACACAGTTTCCTGGTCCCACAGACTGTGGCAGTTCTGCAATTCTACCTTTGTTAAGATATGGCCCTGAGAAGCAGCGATGATTAAAGTAGATCTTTGGACAGCAGTATTTACCATTGGTTACAACTAGAAAAAATAAGAATAATAATCAGAATACTCTGTGCAAACATGTGCTCTAAATACAGTGAAACCTTGGTTCCTGGACGGCTTAGTTGCCGAACAAATCGGCTCCCGAACTCTGCAAACCCAGAAGTGTTCTGGTTTACAAACCTTTTTCGGAAACCGAACATCCGATGTGGCTTCTGTTTGAGTGCAGGAAGCTCCTGCAGCCAATCAGAAGCCGCGCTTTGGTTTTCAAATGGTTTCGGGAGTTGAATGGACTCCCGGAATGAATTAAGTTCGAGAACCAAGGTACCACTGTACTAGCATTTAGAAAGAATTTAAACCATAGAAATTAAACCAATAAATACAGGGCCCCATCCAACACTGCAGCTCCTTTGGTGCAACACACTTCCATGCATACAACTGCTCTCCCTCTCCTGTCCCCTCTGATCTCTGTGTGCCTGTAAAATCAACTCAGGGGAGGGGGCTTGAGGGACCCTCTGTGTAGATGTTTTCTGGAAGAGCCTGGGCAGAGGAGAGGGAAAGAGAAGACCCAATGCACCAGTGGAACTACACACACAAAACTCTGGATACAATCCAGAGTTTCACATATATGCACATTTATTTTTGACAGCCTCCTGCAACTCACCCAAAGCTGGACCCGAGGGATGAGGGAACTTGCTCAAAATTCAGGGAGCTCATTTGCACAAGGGCCTTTTCGCTAGCACAAAACCCCTTTGAACAGCACACACAGGTTTGGATCTAATTCACTAAAAAGTGGGCCAGCCTCAGCTATGTCACAGTGTCACAAAGCCCAATCAAACAGAAAGCAAGGGCTTGTGGCCACTGCCAATACCTGATTTTCTGGGCTCCTCCCTGCCCCAACTCTGTTCTAGTTTATCCCATTCTGCAGTGTGATTGGGGTGCCCTCAGAGGACCCCTTTGAGAAGCTGCTGGGGGAGCAGAGAGAGGGAAAGTCAACTTCTGCATTCCTGTTATGCAGACTTTTTTTTGGATACAATTTATTATGTGTTAACGCTGAAGCAAAGTTTATGGTTATTTGCTTTAGCGTGCAAAATAAGTTAGCATCCTCCGTGATGCAAGATAGTTAAAGATATCAATATACCAATAGTCATTTCATTCCAGCTATGTTTGGACTAAGAGCCGCTTTCTCTTAAAGCCCTAATTCCAGGGGTTTATAATTGGCACATATAGAGATTGTATTGTATTGACATAACATCTCTCCATTTAAAAACCAATTAAATCCCAGAATGAGCAGCAGCCACTTCTGCAAAGCTGACATTAGGTAGTACCTCAAACACACATTTTGCTGCATTGCAAGTCATGCAGTAAGATTTTAGAGAGTATTAACTGATTTGTTCAGCAGCAGATGCACTTATTCAACATTCATCCATTCAACAGTTTAACAAATGATTAGATTTCACCATCTGGCACATATGGAATTCTACTGTCAAATGGCCTTTTCTCTATAGAGTTGCCTGAGTTCCCTGCAAAGCAGAACATGGAAACTCACCGCAGAATGGATAAAAGTTCAAAGGAAAAGTAGGAAGTGTTTCTGAGGAAGAGCCTCACCCCAGCAGGATAGGTCTAGAAAGCTAAGCCTGCGAGGGAAACATGACATGTACACACCACGGCATTTAGCCTCATTCTCCAACTACTACACACAAAGACACTTCTTTCTTACCGGTATCAGCGGAGTTCAGTTCCTGGCTCTTTAGTCCCTCATGGACAGTTCTTGAGGATAATATTCTGACCAAGGAAGAGAGCAAAGCGAGAGAGAGAGAGAGAGAGAGAGAGAGATGGCATTATTCATTATTTGGGCTCTTGAGCTCCTCATCCAGTTTGGGCTTTTGTTTTTGTTTCTACAGTAGAAGGGACTTGTGCCTCAAGCAAAGGTTTCATATTCTCTCCTCTTGCCCCCTCTGGCATTGCTGTTCCCTCATTCCCTCCTTAGTGCCCAAGCCCTATTATAATTAAATCAAAGCACACACAATTGGAAAAAATAACATATTCTTCCCCTGCCCAGCCCTGCATCCAGTTTCCCTCTGTCTATTTTAGACTGTAAACCTCCCAGGGCAGGTCATATCTGTTCTTTATAAAGCAGTATACACATAGGTGGCATAACAAATGACAACTACTACAACATGGGACCCGCCAAGTGAATTAAAGAACAGGAGTTTTTAAACTAATGTATTAACTGTGTGTAAAACAGGTGGGGATTCTCAGGCCTGGGGGCCCCATGTGGCCCTCCAGAATTCTTTGATTCTCAGGATTTTCTATAACCCATGACTCCTCCTAGGCACCCTCATCACAGACCCTACTCCACACACTCTGCTGGTTGGAATGTATCCTTGAACTGGAATAGTGTCCCTTTCTTGCCCAGATAGAGAGATAAATGTGCAGAGACCTCTGATTTTTGTGCGGCTGTACAAAAATAAGAGTCACATTCATGGCCTTACCCACCACTGGCATATGGTTCTTGGAAGGTTGCCCCACTAGTGAATGTGGCCCCCAGGCTGCTGAAAAAGGTCCCCCAACTCTATAAAACCAACAGGGTGGCCAGAGATGTAAGCACTGCTAAAGAACAGCAGCAACATGTCAGGTGAAATAATGCCAAGTGAAAAGGGAGCAATATCCCTCCTACCCTGTCCAACATGTGGCATGCGTGTGAGAAAAATGCACCAGAAGATGGAAAGCAAAGCTGGCAATGGCTTCCAAGAACTGGAGGACAGAGAATTTGCTTAAGGGACTACCCAGAGTGTGTTTTGTGCTATAGCATCTGCTGTGTCTATAGTATAGATCAGGTGTTGTCAACCTGGTCCCTACCGCCCACTAGTGGGCGTTTCAGGGTTCTAGGTGGGTGGTAGGCGGGTTCTACGGCACAAGCTGAATTCCTCCTTCCATCGAGCTTTTACCATCAAGACAAGATGCATTTTAGTGGGCGGGGGATAGGTATAAAAAAGGTTGACTACCCCTAGATAGATATTAACATCTCAATCAACTATTATATGACAGGAGATTTCACTGATGGCCAGGTCACTTCCACAGAATTGTTGTGTATAAGCAAAGTATGGGAATTATTTCTTCTGGAATTAGCTGGACTTCATTCTACCTTTTCTAACAGAGTTCATCTTCTTGCTATTGCATCCAAATGTAGATTTGTGAGGCTAACCACCTATGTGACACGTGGAATATTTGAGGACCTGAAGTGAAAAAGAATTAAGTAACAACCTTTCAAGCAGCACTTATGAAAGGGACGTGAGGGTGAATTAAAATAAGTAATACCCAAAACTGTCCTAACTAACGGAAAAGTGCACACCTCCAATATGACCTGAGAACAGTTCAGAAAGATGCAGCTGATTTAGAAGAAAAGTAGTTATGGTATATCCAGAGAGTATAGTAGCATGACAGAGCCACAAACATGCATAATATTTCCAACTACTAAGTAAGTGAGCTCTAGTTAACTGCATTCAAGCTTCTCAAAAAACAGTCCCTTGCTAGCAATGTGAAATAAGTTCAATGCTTACGGTTTCTCTGGTTGGACCACTGCAATTTTCTTTTCCTTGTTCACTGTAAGCCAAGGTGAAAGTCAATGAATAACCAGTGTATCATTTAAAAAGTTTTCCAATGATAACACACACTTTTTATTTTATAATCTTCTGTAAGCAGAATTTCAACATTTACATAGTCAGGCTACAGATAATAGTCATGTTTCATCACCGCCTGGGGAATTGAGACCCAACTTTCTTGTGAAACTTGAAGAGATGAGCAAAGAACCAAACACGGGAAAATCCCTGAACTTTCAAGTGCAAACACACAGGCTTTTCAGTTTCCTAAGCTTAAAAACAGGCATTTCTCCAACTTCAAGGGTACTCTAAATCTACATGCAACGGCTTGCACATTGCCCATCTACTGCTGCTCCAAGTATCCCCAAAAGGCTGCCTTGCTACTAAGCTCTAGTGAGTTCTAGATTCTCAAAGTATTAATCAAAAATGTCTTAAAACCTTCCACAGTCCTTCCTCTCTAGGGACTTGCTCTTGTGCTGTTTGATAGAGCTACAGAGCGATTGTTTTACCATTGTTATGTAAGAAATGCATATATACCATAGTACTCTGAAGTACAACAATCAATTCTGCAATACATTCCACTCCATCTTGTAGTATAGTAATTGTATTAGTCATACCTACTGCCCTGCGAGGAGGTCTAAGCTGATATCCATTTGTTTCACACCAGCCTACTGGAAATATATTCATAGATTCCACACTCACTATGCATTCAGGGACTGGCATTTTAGAACCTGTTAAGAGACAAATGGAACACATAGCCCAAAGCAATGGTTGTTGCAACTGGACTCGCAACAGAACAGAACACAACACTTGCTATAATACATATCTGTGTACCTGCACATTTGAATCAGACATAAGTAGCATGACAGGCCCTCAAAAACGGAATCTGTCAGGAAACAAGCCTTTGATTGTTGCCTATAAGGGTTTTATCACAAGTTGCAAAAAAATAAAACAAAACCATGGGCTGGAACAGCTGTTTTCAGAGCCATTTTTAGGAGTAAGACTGCATGCTGGTAAAGATTTATAATGTTCAGATAAGGCAGTGGCATTAACATGCTACATGGGGAAAGTGAACAAAATTCAAAACATCTACCTTTCAAAATATAACTTACTTTCCAGCTGTAGCCAGAGATAGGAATCCTTCACCTTTGTAACAGTAGCTACACAAATTTCTTCAGGATCTTGTGAGTTTACTGCCTCAAGTTTCATGTTCTCCTTAAAGCCATGGTCAGAAGTCAGCTAAAAAAGAAGAAAAAAGAAGAAAAAAACACTTAGGTGGAACATGCAATTTTAAGGGCACCCAATTCATATACCAAACAGGAAAAACATTCAGAACAAATTAAACACAGACCATTGAAGGGAATCACCAGGGATTTAAATGGTAAGTTCAAAACAATAATCAGCAAGCGGCTTCTTATAGATTACCAAGGGAATTTCAACCTGGCATTCAAAAAAAGTATTAAAAGAAGAAAAAATAATTGAATTTACAGTAGAACATGCAAGAGACTGCTTCAAGCCCACATCTTGTTATACTCAAGATCAAAATTAAACTGCAATAGTGGAGATAAGCATACACAAAATAAGAAACCTACTTCCTGCACAAAGGATAAATTAATTCTCACAAGGAGCCAACAAGGTGGTAAACTTGTGTCTGGGCTGTCCCACTTCAAACTAAAGTGGGTACCTACATGGTTTACTCTTGAGGATCCAAAAGGCTGCATGAAATGTTCCATGCATGCACCAGGCGTCCCCCTCCCATCAGTGTCCCTTACCAAAAAAATGCTCTGACAGGCTGATGACTCTCTAGAACAAAATACCACATGGCTTGAAGGGCTTGCTGTTGAAAAGCAAAATTCACTTACCCCTCCCCGCCAAAGTGCTTCCCATGTGTGCAGTAAAAAAAGCAGTAAGATTCCCGGAACCTCAAAAACTAGATTTCGGGGAGAAGGATACAAGTTGAGCCATCTCCCCGATATTCTAGGTGCTGAATTCAGCCCTCCTCCCAGAAACATTTCATCAGGTGAAGCCTCACCTACACTTCAAACATTTCATATCCTGTTTGTGGCCCAAGATGCATAATGCCATTGTTTGACTCCCAAGCCATGAGATACCATCAATTCTTGCAGAATAAGTTGAATATTAAACATCTCTTTAGACTATTTTGGGACGTTTTAATTCTTTTTCCCCACTATGTGGTGTGGTTAACAAGCTTTACAAACTAAGTAAAATATTCACCGTTGAATAAACACATTATATTGTGAATGCTTACCGAGGGAAAACAGCTTTGGGGAGCAGCCTCTGCTCCACACTGCTTGAGATAATCTGCCCAGTCAAAGTCTTGCCCAGGATAACCTATGAATGAGCGAACAAATGACTCTTATTTATTAATGCATTTTTATCTTATCCTTCCTACAAAGAGGTCAGCGTAGTAGCCATGATCCTCTCCTCCATTTTATCCTCACAGCCACCCTCTTAGGTAAGTTAAACTGAGACAGTCTGCCAAAAGACTCCCACTGAGCATCATAGTTGTGTGGGATCTATGCTAGGATCTCTCTACTCCTTGTTCAACATTTGTCTATCCCATACTGGCTTAAGTAAGTTTGAGAATGATATGAGTAGTTCCTGAGGACACACAAATGCCCTCACATTCTCAAACTAGGCTTTTCACACTACTTGAAAAGCCTAGGCCCGATGTCTTTCCCACACCACTTTTATAGTCATTATAAGAAATCTTGCTGTTAAATTGTCCCAGTCTCTGCAATACACGGAATAGAAGTGTTTTCAGAGATAAAAGTATAATGCTTCCAGTTCAACTGCTCGTATGAGAGCAGGCAAATAGACAGCATAGGCTACACACCTGGTGGAGGGCTGAGATGCAAGCCATTTTTTAGACTCCATTGCACAGGGAAAATACCAGGACTGTTGACATGACAGACGTAAGACCGGCTTGTGGTATATTCTGGTCGCAAATCATCTATTTCTACCAAAAAGTATTTATCATTGAACACCTGCAAAAAGACAAAGGAATGACTTTGAAACAAAGATCACTTTACTAACATATAAAACTTTTTGAGTCACTGTCCTACTGCTAATAGTGGGTTGAATCAAATGTTATTAAGAGCAGACACATTGAAATGAATGACCATGACTAATTAAGGTTCATTAATTAATTTCAGCAGGTCTACTCTGAGGAGGACCTAGTTGGATACAATTCTTTGTTATTTATTGGCTAGGATACAGAGCCGTGTTCAATGTGCCCAAGGACTGAGCATGGTCAATGGGGAGTTAACCAGTTTTCTTTGAACAGCCCGCCTGCCCACATGAAATACTACACACTACTTTTGAAAGTCATGTTAACTTCAAAAGTAATGTGTCATGAGGAATGGGAGAAATAAAACCCTGAAAACCTCTTTGAGCATGCGGAACCTCATGCTTGTAAAGTACCTCAAACATGATCAGAACCTTGAAGTGTTTAAAAAGGAGGATATAGCGAAGTGGGAACATGCTCAGGACAAACATTCCACATTTATATAGGAAGAAGCAAGACAAAAAGGGCAACAGGAGATGCTAGGCTTCTCAAGAAATAAAGTCAGAAAAATCAAGAATTTGAACTGGATTATGTATGGAAAAGTCAAATCACTAAGACACCAAGAAAGTTTAATAAACAGAAATTAACACCGTCTTATAGAAATAGAATGAATGAATGAATAAATGAATAAATAAATAAATAAATAAGGGCTGATTAAAACAAGGAATTCCCCCTGCTCTAGCCATATAAAGTAAAATTAAGAAGGTGGAAAAGTACACTTGATCCTATAATTCCAAGGACTCATCCCATGACAAGGATGACTCATATGAACTGTAATTAAACAAGATAAACACAATAATGAGCTGCTGAAGTTGATTAGATTGTGGGCAGCAGAGGGACTGTGTTAAATGTGTAGTTGATTAGAAGGTGGAGAAAAATGTACCTCGACAGGAATGGGACTGTGAGAATGCCATCTGAATTTCTCAAACAGATAAGCTATTTTATGTGAAAATTCTGATGAGCCATCTTAGAAGGAATAAGATATAGAAACGTAAAGCATGTAAGATAAAGGGAATGTTGGGTAGGCAGAAAAAGAAAGGTTGATACTGTTGACAGAACTTATAGCTGCTCTGACAGTTTACTGCTGAGAAAATGACAAGAATTGTGCATCTATTCCAGACATTGTCATGACACCTAGACTTGTAAGAGTTCTGAACTGAAAAGAAAGTTACTTTTACAACAAAAAAACGAGGGGGATTGCCTATGGACATATTTAATTTATAGCGAGTACTGCATATGGGTCATTCATTGCAATAAAATGAAATGAAAAATAAAAATGAAAAATAAAAATGAAAGAATAGAAGACCCAAAAGTGGGGACCTCATTAAGGAACTCAAGGAATCATGTCTTTATTTCCTAAGAGCACTGAGTGTGCACAAAATTATATTAAAGCGAACAGGACCAGAAAGTTACCTTGCTGATGCCAAATGGGAAGATGAAAAAATAGAATATGTTTAAAATGTTACATCTTGGAGCCAGAGAACTTCAGAATATAATTGGGTACCTTTGTAACTGTGGCTGGCGAGATGACGAAAGGAGCTTTGGGATCAACAGCTTCTAACTTCATGTTGACAGAGAACGAATGAATTCCAACAACAGGTTTGTCCTAAAAATGACAACACGAAAATTTTAAATTATCATTGAGGTCCTTTATCATTGAAACAGAAAATTCTTCAAAGTAGAAGAGATGCCTAGTATCTTCCACTAGCACAAGAGACGACATAAACTTATCCTTTAATATTTCAACAAGAATCACACTAGTTCACCCTGGCATTTCAAAAGTTGTTTCACTTACAAGAAGCCAGCAAATGAAAGTTGTCAGCAATTGCTCTCTTACTAAAATGGACATTACATTTTCAGTTCAGCGAGACTGGGATTTGACATAATACTTTTCACCCAGGAATTTCTAATCTGCAGCATAATGAAGGCATTTAGAAAACTCTCCTGGTTCGCAGAGAGGCCATTTAATGTGAAAACAAAAAACCAGTCCAGGAAACTCTTGTCACTTGAAATTGAACAAAATGAACTAGATCTCTAGCACAGAATAAAATAAGTATAATGTCACAGGCAATCAACCGTAACTTTGCTTGGTTGGGTTAATCTTATTTCTGAGAGGCCTGCAATTGATGATGTTTTCGAAAATGTGGGAGGTCACTTAAGGCAAGCGTAGGTTAATGGGAAAATATACCACAGAATCAGCATTAGCTCTATATACTGCCTTCTAGTCGAAGGACCAAATCATAGACTTCCTTTTCCCCTTTGACCTAGCAAACTAAGACCAACCTAGAGTGTCATCTGTACTGTGCCACCTAGAAACCAAGTTAAGACATAAAGAGCATGCAGAGGTACTACCTCTCTCCACAGTTATGGAGTGTGGTGCCTCTGAAAAACATGACAAAGTCAAAACACCTTTAAGAAAGTGTTTCAAAACTCTTATTTGGTTTGGAGTTTTGTGTCTGTAGCTGAAGGAGTCAACACTGTACCCATTTTATTTGATTTTAATATGTCATGCATATTTCAGGTGCTCGTTTACCTCAGACCCAATGTGCAAAGAATTTCATGCAGCTTGCGCAATAGAAGGAACCGAAACCCAGTGGAGCCTCCTGATGGAGGAAAGGTGATGATTTCCACTGATTCCCACTTCCCTTGCCCCCTCCCATACTATTCCAAAAGGGACCCCAACCCATAGCTGACAACGTTTCCCTTTTTTAAAGCGAAATTCCCTTATTTCGAATAGGATTCCTCGCAAGAAACGGGAAAAGTTGACAGCTATGCCCCAACCACGCAGAACAGCTTCTCAGCGGGTGCACAACAAATGACTCTGAAAATCACCATCCTTCCCTGCTTTCCTCCAGCAGGAGCATTTTGTGGGTGGAGTTCAACTGATGTGAACTCTGCATCCAGGTCTTTATATTTAACCATACCATTTGTTAAAAGCACTCAGGCCGGGTGTAGTGATCCGATAGCAAATTCCAGCACTTGTACCTTAAACAGATCAGTGGGAACCAAAGATTCTTCTTCCTCCTCTTTTATTTTTTCTAGGATATCCTGCCATTCTGCTTCAGTCTTCAAATGCCTAACAGCTTCAATAAAAGAATGGTAGTCTGAGTAAAGTGCCACACTTTTAAAAATGAGTCCATTACACTACACGACTAAGTCAACGATCTGAAAATCAACTCAAAAGTTTTCCCCTCCCCCATTGAACCCTACTATGAGCCCTACATTGAATGGTTTTTAAATTGCCCACAATGCATGCTTGCATTTTCCACTGAGACTTCCTTTTAATAGTTCTTATGCAAAATCTTTTAATTGCTTTTTTACATAAGCAGTTTGGAGATGGAGTTGGAGGGGAGGGCAAATTGCAGATAAGGAATCCTTAAACTTATCTCCAGTTGCACTATTTGGGTTACGGGCCTAAAAGTGCATCTCCCTGCCCAGAGTGTGAGCAGAGCAGAGCAGAGCAGAGCAGAGCAGAGCAGAGCACAGCATGTGTATTGCTCCAAGTTTACTCACAGACAACAAAAGAACTACCAGACTCTATGTATCTAGAGCAATTTGCCTGTTTTCATGGCAATTGTGTCTGCAGCTCAGATAAACTTTAAGAAGAAAATGCAAAGCCTCCAGGTTTGGAACAGCCCCATGCTATTCATGTGATGTCGGCAAAGACACAGTATGATTTCTGACTAGACTGAAAGTTCCTTAAATTGAGACCACAGAATACTGTTCGAGGCTAATGAAAACAATCCCAAGGGAAGACAAAGACAAATTCATGTATGCATGCATTCTCTCTTTTTCCTGTCCCTGCTATTTTTCCTTATTGTATAGCTCTGTGTAGCATAGCATACTAGCAAATGCCAAATTCCAGAGATTCTCTGTTTGGTCTTGTCAATATACCCCAAACAAGAGACAGGGGTACAATATAGGGAAATTTACGTGTTTTTCTATTCTTTTAAAATAGCTGCTCTGAGCAGATGAGTCTTGTTGGCAATTCCAAAAGCAAGTACAAGTGTGTGTGTGTGTGTGTGTGCACGCGCGCACGCCTCAGTTTTTGAGCATCTTGGAGGCCAAATGTTTTGGTTTTCGAACACCGAAAATCTGGAAGTAAATGCTTCCGTTTCTGAATGCACCTCAGAAGTCGAACTTCTGAGGCGGCTTCCTGTTTGAGTTTTCCATACTTTTGAGGCTTCCGTATTGAGTTTCCAGTTTTCAAACGGTCTTCCAGAATGGATTCCGTTTGAAAACAGAGGAACCACTATGTGTGTGTGTGTGTCAAAACACCAAAAGCTTTTCTTCTTCAGACCTTGCACTCCAAATTGAAAATGCAGTTTTATACCTAGTGGAGGTTCAAGGGTGTATCCTTGTTGAGTTGCCCAGCCCACTGGATGGAGAAAGGGATCCAAATAGAACATCCATAAGTCACACTGATCTAAATCTCCAAGTCCTTCATAACGTAGTTTGAGCCTTCCACCAACATTTTCCAAAACATTGACTATCCAAGCTCCTAGAGAATCATTCAAGTGCTGACATTCTAGTCTTGAACCGGGAGCAATGAGATCCAAGGGATTATTCCCTCGATGGAGCTGTGGAGGAAAGTGGAAAAAGGAAGATAAATGGTAAGCTGTCCAGTCACCTGCCTTGAAAAGCTATCAAGACAAAATATCCATCTTCATCGCTTATGCTGAGTTATACGCAGACATCAACTATGAATACTGTTGGGTCAGCTAACGAGTTTTCAGGAATTCTGGCAAGATGTGGAAATGTAGTCCTATTTCCTATTCACGGCACTGCAGCTTCCACTTAAAAGCTTGATAGGCACACCGTTAAAATCATGGTAATTTGTAATTCATATAGGGAGTAGGAACCAGCATTTGTCTTCATGCTTTCTTATCAAGCGATTTCAAAAACAATTTGGGGCTGGAAAAAATGACCTACTGTTTCCTTTAAAAATGCTTACGAATCTTTATTTATAAGGGAAAGATTAGCGAATACTATTGGTTGCATTTGTTTTAGGAAGCCTACCTCTGTCATATTGACTCTCTATAAATATATTGTTATGCACTCTATCCACACAGTCAGATCTACTTTCTCAGCCTTCTGTCTTTGTGATGCTAGTGCCTATGACACAGGTGTACCCTCTGCCAGGCTTGTGATTACTGTGGAAGGACAAGGAATCTGCCATTTCCTACCATCCTTCCCATTCAGACCTTGAAATCATGTCGGTGGTTACAGGTAGAATGGTTGGTTACCTGGGTTATCAACCTTCTCTTTAAGCATGTACCCTTTTGAACTGGAACTCATTGGTGTTTCACCAGTTTCCTCTCTTCCAGGGGGTAGCTGAGTGTCTTGTGTTTTAAACTAATTATTATGTTTTAATACTTGTATTATTTCACTAGATACCATTGCTAGGCTGTTTTGCTGAAAGATTAGCTTCCCAAAACAGCAAAAAAGTATAAGAAAACCTAGCAATGGAATCTGAATTCACTAATTAGCCCACATAATCACAAATAAATAAATAATAATAATAATTTATTTATACCCCGCCCATCTGGTTGGGTTTCCCCAGCCACTCTGGGTGGCTCCCAACAGAATATTAAAAACACGATAAAACATTAAGCATTAAAAACCTCCCTAAACAGGACTGCCTTCAGATGTCTTCTAAAAGTCAGATAGTTGTTTCCTTGACATCTGATCTCTGGCTATCTTTGGAAGCATGGGGGGAAACTTTTCCAGTTTCTACCAAAACAAAATGTTTTTCTTTTACATAAAAGCAAGAAAGCAAAATAAGTCGGCTACATCAAAAGACCTTCACCGGAGGAAAATTACCATTTTGAAAGTGTGTAGTTTTGTTTTTTAAAAAAATAAATAAAAAATCATTAAAATATATTATAAGAAGGGCCATGTCCCATTGAATTTAACTGAATTTAGTTCTGAGAAGACATGGTTAGGATTGCTGCTTAAATTATATGTTTACATTTTATTGTGCCCTTTTAAACGTGAATCCTCAGCTGTCAGAACATTCACTTTGGTAAAGGGAAAAATGAAGTTGTACCAGAAGACTATTGCAGCCGCAAAGTCTAACACAATGGGCTTTAATAGGTATTGGTTTAAGACGTAATAAGGGCAAAGTATTTTTATTGCTGCCGATCCATGTGCACACTTACACCTTCTAGAAGAGTGGCAGGAGCACTGCATGCTCCTTTCAGAGTCTGCTGAAGGAATTCCTCCTGGTTAGAAATTTTATCTTTGATGCCTAAAAGGGAAAAAAATGTTGTTCAGTATTTACTCTTCCTATCTTATAATAACATAGCATAGAGTTATATTTATGCTGGGGAAAGTCAACAGCTGGCCCCATGTCCAATCCTAAGAAGATTTGCAACTTTTGCATTGCTCAGCAGCAGAACTTGAAGTTAGTAACATTTTTTGTGTGATCTCAACCATCATTTTCTTAGAGGTCAAGCAGACAGTCATTACAAATATGAATGGGTCCAAAAGGTACATTAACAAATAGCCAAGTGAAAAACAGATTCATCTACAGCTGTTTCAGCCAAGTCATGATAGTGTTTGCAGGTGTAATCGACACAAAGTGATTCTTAGTAGAAGTTTATGGACAGATGAGCACAGAAGATCATGCAAAAAGCTTTAAACAGGGCTTTGTCTCCTGCAATATATATCACCTGTAGGAGGTTTACTTTATTGAAACATTCTTCTCCCCATGGTGGACTGTTACCTTCAGGCACTTTGAGAGTCTTCTTGTTCTGCTCACACCACCCAATTGGATGCAAGTCAGCTGTCATGATGTCAAACCAAAAGTCTGCCTTCCTGTCCTCTCCATACCCATCATATCGCAATAGCAGTAATGGCCCACAAGTGGTAATGATTGTAGCAATCCAGTATGTATCAGGGCCAGGTTTGACAGCAACCTCTAGTTTCATGCCTGGTGCAAAGCCATTTTGCAGGCTAGTGTCCACCTAAAAAGAGAGAGCAAGCAACACATCAATGCATGGCTCCATGGTTGCAATTTGATCACTTAATTTTAAAAACATTTTGCATAGATCTGGAACAACTTTTTTTAAAAAAACACAATGATGTAGAAACCAAGGAACAAACTTTTTTTGGATTTGCTTTTGGTCAATGAAGAACCAACTGACAATGGGGTACCTTGGGAAAAATTGGCCACAAGATCTAGACACAATGATAAATGGCAAAGCAGAAGTAACATTAACTTATTTCAGAAGATTTTATCTCAACACCCAAAGGTAAGCTAACACAGCTAGAAAACACCAATGACATGAGTGGGCAATTAAAAATAATAATTCTAAAATATCCATCGTGTGCTATCCAAACTCAGGAGAACAGATTAAATTTAACAGACCAATAAGGATGCAGAAAAAGCTTTTTAGTAATCTGGTGACCAAGTGAAAATTGTATAAAATGGATAGAAAGGTGTTACTAACGATTGGTAACAAAGGAATCTGCTTCTCAAGACAAAACCAAACAAATGTGGATTAGGAAGGAACATCAGAAATAAGGAGTTTCAAACATATCCCAAGAGAAAGGCGATTAAGGTTATATGACAAACATAACTGGTGACTTAGAAGGCAACTGTGATGCGGAAAATTGTGAGAAAAATTCAAGCCTGCAGCTTATGATGAAAACCTATCAGTCCTTGAGTTTAGACATTGCATAAAAAGTAAAGGAGACCGAGAAGAGTAATTTACATCCTATAATAAAGCAGGACAATGTTAAAAAAACAACACCCCACCTTAAACCTACAGCCAATAAACAATACATAGCATAGCAGACCATATTACACAATTTGATTTATAAGCATGCAACAGATAATATGTCGCTTAAAGCCAAAGTGAATTAATTTTAAATGATCATATCACACGAGTTACTTTCCTCTTCAGCTGACATTAACAAGGCCAATCATATGTACATAACCAGTTCCAGCACTTTAATCTCATTTCTTGGGGGGGGGGGAGAGTAGGAAGAAAAGAGAAGCTTTCCCATGCATTTCAGTGTCAAGCATTCACACCTCTCTCTTTGCATACAACATGTGTAATAAGGAAGCCATTATTAACTAAATTTGATTCCATTACTGGGTTAAATAACAGAACAGTAATAGAATATAAAATTCTGACACTTTTAAGTTTGGCATAAAAACTTCAATGCTTTCTCAGCACAAAATATAACCTCCCTTTCCTTACCAGACAACCCCTTTTCAAGATCCTATTTTTATTTCTCTGTGTGCCACAGTACAACATACCACCACATAATCGCCCACAACTTGAATTAAAATTTTACACTTGTAAATCCTACTTCTGTAAAGGAAAGAAAAATTGCTATGCACTGATCCTTAACAGGATAGCACGTTCAATAAAATAACTATTTGCATCAGGAGTAAAAACAGCATGTAATCCTCTCCCCAAAACAGAACCGAAGCTGGAGTCCCTTTCCATTAGATAAGCAAATGAAATTACTTTGCAGCATGTCATATGTATCAGGTTAGCTTCAAACCCATTCTACTGTTGTATTTTACACTGTGTTAAAGGAGAAGTGTGCCTGCTAACATATATTGCCCTCCCCTTCTTTCCTGCAAGCATGGCACGAGATGCATCAAGCAGTTGAGGCAGAATCTGTTTCCTAATATGTCACCCACGACAATGCAAGAAAGGAAAGAGAGCATGAATCCCTTTCTTCTGAGGACATCTATGTGGCAAACATGGTAGGAACAACCAACAGCAAGAGAAAGAAAAACAAACAATTACAAGCACACTCAAAACAGGATTCACATCTTATTTGGTACAAATATTTGCGGCTGGAATATTTGTGGATTAGAAACAAGATACAGTACTTATTATAAACTTGTCACTCATGCTCAAACAGCACCCTCTTATGGCAGTCTGGTAGGATTGCAGTGGGATGAAGAGTGAAGGGAACTAATTTCGTTCTTTTTTATTTGTGAGGGCATTCACTATGAAAAAAATAGTTGCAGGTAACCAGCTGTCTAGGAATGCCGGCATCCAAAATATAATCTGTAGATGTGACTGCAGCAATTATAATACTGATAGATTAATTAATTGATAGATTTATAACTATTTAACTATTTATAACTATTTAAAAATAGTTAATTAAGCACACATCTTTCCCCTGGCTTCTAATGGCTGCAAACCTCAGACCAGAAGACATATGTGAATAAGACTAAAAATAACTTCCTGATTTAAAGTGTGGCGATTTAGACAATTGTGTGTGCAGCTATCTATCTATCTATCTATCTATCTGCATATTACTTTATAGTGACCATGTTCACATGTAATTGTAAATGAAGAATTGTGCTTAATAAACATTATTGTGCATAGTTACTCCCATTTCACTCCTCCCCTAGAGGGAAGAGGCTTAATTCTGCACCAGAAAGCTTAATTTTGCACCTGAGCTCAGGATCGTGGTGTCTTTCTCAACAAGCCGTGACTGTTAATCCGACATGTTGTTGCCTTGCACATCAAGGCTTGCTAACTACAAACTACAATCCCAGGTTCAGATATTACACTAAGCACACACCCTCTCAGTTTGTTTGTCTGTTCATGCCAGGGGGGCGCAAGGCAGAAGCAATCAAGCTACATGCACCAGCACACAGCACATGCACAGTGGCTTATTAAACTAAACTTACTGGCTTACTGTTAAGCAAGTGGAAAAGCAAATTGATTAAGGGGAAAAAAATATCTCCAGAATACAGCCCTAATAGAATTGCAACCCCAGTTGCATAGAAGACTGCAAAGGTATTACGTTAAGCCTGCCACAGGTTAATTACAGGGCAAGTATAGTTTGCACAGGTTCACAAAAGGCATTGATTTAGCCACAAGAGGGCAACCTTCGTTCTGTAAGGATGAAGCAGAAAGGTGCCGGTATAGATACTGAATAATTTGTGAACATGGAGAAACAGTGTTCCAATTTGGCTTAAATCCTTGAAGCAGCAAAGGCTTTAAATCTGTAAAGCAACAGTTTAGCTGAGTAAAATTGCAAGTGATATCCCAGCTTGAACTCTGCCAACTTTATTTTTTTTTTTTAAGACTCCCTTGGATAGTCTGCAGTTGTGATGGACTTTTAAACAACAAAACAAATGAGCAACCCAGCCAGAAACTGAAGTCAGAAGCTACTTCAGCATACTTCCCAAGTGAAATATATTTAAATATTTACTACGAAAAGTTAAAAAAAGGGGGGGGGGAGGAGCCATGCCAAGAACAAAGTTCTATATTGCTGGACAACCACAGCATACTTGCCTCTAGCTTTCTGCCCATTCTTCAACTCCCATCTTCCACAAGACTAAAGCCCTTTATTTATTAGTCTCTTCTGCAGGCCCTTCTTTCAGGGATGACATAGGACCACACCCATTTCCAAAACTTCTTTGAGTTTCAACAGCTTCTTTAAAAAAGCCTTGTCCCTGGTACATGCTACTACTGCTGAGCCACACATGGATGTCTCAGCAACTCTACTGGGCTTACTGCAGACTATGATGAGGAATTCATAAGGTATATGATAAACGCACAGTGGTACCTTGGTTGTTGAACATAATCCATTCTGGGAGTCTATTTGACTCCCGGAACAAAAACCAAGGTGCAGCTTCCGATTGGCTGCAGGAGCTTCCTGCACTCAATTGAAAGCTGTGCCAGATGCTCAGCTTCCGAAAAACTTCTGGGTTTGCAATGCTCGGGAGCCGATTTGTTTGGGAGCCAAGCTGTTTGACAGCCAAGGTACCATTGTATGTGCCAACCAATATGGGGGCTCTTTTGTCCCAATAAGCTGCTTCCTTCTTCCACTACCCATTTTGAAACTGTCCAATCAAGAGCACCCAGAGAAGTAGGAACAAACCAAGCGCTGTCCCAAAATCCAGCACTTGCTCAAACACTTTTGCCGCCTATAATTTCCAAAAGCTACAACAAAAAACAGCTGATAAATTTTATAGCAACCAAACCAACTTAGGTGGGTTGAAATGACTGTGAAGGTTGCACTGACAATGAAGCTTTGCCAGTTCACTAAAGGAAAACAGTGGCATATTAGATGAGGATGGACTAAAGTCACAAAGGAGTGAACTAGCTTTTTGAAATTTTATTTTGAGAATACAATCCATTAGAACAACAATAAAATTACTAAGCAACAGTTAATACCAGCAGCAATCAGGTTTCTTCTACAAATACCTCCTTAAAGGTAAAGGGACCCCTGACCATTAGGTTCAGTCGTGACTGACACTGGGGTTGCGGTGATCATCTTGCCGAGGGAGCTGTCATACAGCTTCCGGGTCAAGTGGCCAGCATGACTAAGCCGCTTCTGGTGAACCAGAGCAGATAACAGAAACGCCATTTACCTTCCCGCTGGAGCGGTACCTATTTATCTACTTGCACTTTGAAGTGCTTTCGAACTGCTAGGTTGGCAGCAGCAGGGACCAAGCAACGGGAGCTCACTCCGTCGCGGGGATTCGACCTGCTGACCTTCTGATCGGCAAGTCCTAGGCTTTGTGGTTTAACCCAAAGCACCACCCGCGCTTATTAATTGCTTATTGCTTATTAATTGCTTATTAGGTCCTTATTAATCAAACCAGTTATGTTCCATACAGAAGTTTTGGAAGGCGAACTGAGGTGTTATTTGAAGATTAGTATCACCCCCCCCAAGAAAACTATGTTCCAGAAATCCTTAATTTTCTTACAGTCCCACCACATATGGAAATAAGTTCCAATTTGGATGCAGTCCCTCCAGCATTTTTTTTGAATTAAATTTTTATTGAAGTTTTAACAAACACCATAACAAAAAAGAAAAAAAAAAGAGAAAAAAAAGCAAAAAGGCATGACATACAAATACAAAATATAAAACATGTATAACCTCAATTTTTACTTTCTTTAAGCTTACTTTCACGACTTCCTCATACCTTCCCTTTCTGTATTCTAATTTCAGATTCAATTTTCAGCAAATCCTT